GTTATACACAACACATAACAACACAACACATAACAATAAATGTACAGGCAAATAAACACATCTAGACGTGTATACACACACACAGGTGAAGATCCAATAGCTTTTACCTTGGATCTCTAGTGATGAGACAGCAATACTACCTTACCTGTCTACAAACATGTTCACATAGCTGAACTTCGTTAGCAGCAGTAAGGAATCCAGTGAAAGCTGTGAACCAAAATTTTGGGTAATGCAGTTTCCATGGCAGTTTGACTTTTAAAGGCCAAACCTCCCCAGACTCTAAAAATGCTGGGGCCAGGCAGCACCACAAGAGAACATCACACACTAACCCGCTAGACCCTGCTTAGAACAGCAGCACAAAAGCCTGGGTACGTGCACCTCCGTCCCGGCTTCCCATTCTACAGCAAACTCCAGATGCCAAACAATATTGGAGCCAAACAGCATTGCAAAAGAGCATCTGTTGACCAAACTCCAGTTTTCCCATGGCTATATTAATCACACGCAAATCACCAAAACACGATCCAACTGCAGCAACAAACAAGCCCGAATGTCCAAACTGCAACAGCGGGGTTCTTCCTCTCTCCATCACGGGGCGCTTCCTCTCTCCATCACTGGGCTTGATCAACGGCAGACAAAAATTTTTTAGGGATTTCCTGAACTGAGAGGAGCTGATCCCACTGTCTGGTACTCACAAAGCACATTCATTGCCCAGACACAACACACAATTACAAACAAGCTCCTAAGAGCGTCCAGACTGAAACAAGGTGTGTCCCTTCACTGCCGAGACACAACACACAATTAGAAACAAGCCCCCAAGAGTGTCCAAACTGAAACAAGGTGTGTCCCTCTCTGTCAGTTGGGCTTGTTCAACCTGGAAATGGAAATTCATTTTAAAAATATCACAAATTGGGCCAGGCGTGGTGACTCACGCATGTAATCCCAGCACTTTGAGAGGCCAAGGTGGCAGATCACGAGGTCAGGAGTTTGAGACCAGCCTGACCAACATGGTGAAACTCTATCTCTACTAAAAATACAAAAATTAGCTGGGCGTGGTGGCACGTGCCTGTAATCCCAGCATGGTGACAGGCACCTGTAGTTCCAGCTACTTGGGAGGCCGAGGCGGGAGAATCACTTGAACCGGGGACATGGAGGTTGCAGTGAGCCGAGATTGCTCCGTTGCACTCCAGTCTGGTGACAGAACAAGACTCCATCTCAAAAAAGAAAAAGAAAAGCAACTGGGAGCTTGGAGAAACTGCTTCCAGGCAAACACGAAGAAGAACCCTGGGGACCTTTTGGAAATAGCTGAGGGTCCCTCTGAGACGAGATCAGTTCTAAAAATTAAAGCCAGTAGGATGTCACATGGTCATAAGTTGTATATGAAAAGTAAATGTGACTTTCTTTTTTTTCACAAGCTGCTAAGTTCTGAGACTTAAAGATCACAGTGTATTTAAATATTAGACCCAAATGATCGTTAACGTGGAAGCTTCTGCTTTTGTATTTATATTTCCTTTCTACTGATTTATAATTTAATATGTGATTGCACATGTTCTTGTTTATGAAATGCTTGGGTAGACAAAGGTGAATGAGGAAGGAAATTATTAAACATAAAAATAATAAATAGCCCCGAAAAGCAGCATTCTAGATTTTTATTTTTCATGGGTTAGCTTTTCGCTGGCAGTGTGACCTAAGGAAATGCACTTATTTTATTGTGGTCTCACTTCTTCCCCTAAACCATGAAGGAATTGAGTTGGATACTGTCTGAGGTCCCTTGAACCACCAGGACTTAACTATGAAATTTATGTTCATGTAACTTGGTATAACATCCTGAAAACATTTTCTGTTAACTAAAGGATTTCACTCTTGGAAAGTTTTAGCTTAAAAATATTGATTGGAAATCTCAAGAGAGGCTGTGCTATGTATTGATTTTTTATGAACAGCTAAATATGAATACCATGAATACTTTCCAAGAGAAAAATGTGAAGAGTCGGAAGCTTGTAGTCACAGAAATGGGAAAGGCCCTAGAGATTTCACGCCGTATTTCGCTTAGTGTAGGACTCACATTGTGGTTTACAAGAATTTAATACACAGAATAAATAGCTCGTAGCTGTGAGACAAAGTGCGTTAAACAAAGAAATAGCGACTTGAGACTGAAATAGATAAAAATAACTTCTTCCTACGTCTTTACATACAGAATAATCGAGGGAAGAAGCAATGTAGCTCATTTTGTCTGACACTAAATATATTTTGCCTTCTACTTGAGGTATACATGGCATGCTTTATTTTATTTTATTTTATTTTGTTTTTCGAGATGGAGTCTCACTCTGTCACCCAGGCTGGAGTACAACGATTTTGGCTCACTGCAACCTTTGTCTCCTGGGCTCAAGCAATTCTCCTGCCTCAGCCTCCTGAGTAGCTGGGATTACAGGTGCCCCCCACCATGCCCAGCTAATTTTTGTATGTTTAGTAGAAACAGGGTTTCACCATGTTCGTCAGGCTGGTCTCAAACTCCTGACCTCAGGTGATCCACCTGCCTTGGCCTCACAAAGTGCTGGGGTTACAGGGATGAGCCACTGTGCCCGGCCTGGAATGCTTTATTTGCACATCCGTATAATTATTCCTTTCCACCAATGCATATATATCAATTTATGCATTCTTTTGTCATTCATGTAATAGCCTGCACTGACCATCTAGTATGTGCCTGGAGATCAATATAAGGAAAGAATTATATGCAAACTTTCCTTCAGTCTAAAAATTCCAACATTCTTTGGCAATCCTTCCAGTTCAGGAGGATGCTTCTATGCTGGTTCAATAAAGGGGTTATAAGCATTTGGACTGAACTTCCAGTTAAGTGAGGTGTTGGGAGCCATGGCTACTGTGGTTGATGCTGATGGTGACTGTCACTCTCCTCCACAAGGCAATGCCCAGCCTGGTTGCAGCCTGCATTTTTCTTTTCTTTTCTATTCCTTTTTTAATATTTTGTATCTTTTAGCGTTTGTTTTGTTTTGTTTCTATTTTCCTCTCCCCAGCTCTTCAGTATGCAGCTTGCATTTTTCATCTATCGAACAGGGCCTCCTCATGGCAATCTTAGGACGTTTTCCAGCTCTCCCCATGTAGAGATATGGGTCATGGATAAATCCGGTCTTCAGTGTTAAGCCAAGAGTTTTCAGTCCTCATGGACAGTGCTAAGTAGCTTCACAAAATGCTGAGTGATATCAAAAGAAGGTAAAGGGAGATCTCTGTTCAGAAGAGTCACCAGAGCAAGGTGACAGTCATCTGCAGAGGCTACTCACTTTCTGCTTCTTCTGACAATGCTCCCTAACATTCTTTTTTATCTTTTTCTTTTTTTTTTTTGAGACAGACTCTGCCTTTGTCACCCAGGCTGGAGTGCAGTGGCACAAACTCGGTTCACTGCAACCTCCGCCTCCTGGGTTCAAGTGATTCTCCTGCGTCAGCCTCCCAAGCAGCTGGGATTACAGGTGCACACCACCATGCCCGGCTCATTTTTTGTATTTTAGTAGAGATGGGGTTTCACTATGTTGGCCAGGCTGGTCTTGAACTCCTGATCTTGTGATTCACCCACCTCAACCTCCTGAAGTACTGGGGTTACGGTCGTGAGCCACTGTGCCCAGCCGCAAAATACTTTATCAGATGTAAGTAGTTAAAATGAGGTCATTCTGGAGTAGGTTGGACCCTTCATCCAATTACCTGGATCTGTGTGAGAAGACAGAGACACACAGGGAGAGTGTCATGGGGTGACAGAGACAGAGATTAGGGTGATGCAGCTGCGGGTCCAGGAACACCCCCAATTAACATTCACTACCAGGAGCTAGGGGGAAGAAAGGCGGGATTCTACCCAGTCTTACGGGTGGGTGACGCCCTGCTGATGATTTAACTTTGGACTTCTGGACTCCAGAGCTGTGAGAAAATACACTTTGGAGGTTTTAAGCCACACACATGTGGTATTTTGTTACAGAAGTCCTGGAAAATGAACTCCAGGGTTAGTAGAGAAGATCAGGTGAGCCACACAGGTGTAATTGTGTGTATCCTTGTAACACATGAGCAAGATGAGGGCGCTTGTCCAGAAGAATGGACTCCGAAGTGAGCAAGCCTTACTGTGTGCCTAGCACTGCTGTGAGCAATTTATAACCACCCTTTGATTTAATACCAAGTATCATCTAGCACTCCAGCCATATGAGTTATAATGCTATCCCCAATTTAGAGACAAAATCTGTACTAATTCTGTTTAAATAATTATCCTTTCAAGGAATGTATTATTCTGCTCTCCAGATTCCTTCTGGTGAATAATGAGGTTCTTTTGCCATTATGCAGCTTTCATGGGACTAACTATTAAAAATTTTAAATGTTCAATTTCAATGAGAAAAATAATTGGCAACCTCTTCTTTCTTCAAAACTTGTTATATCAAAGTTAAATCTATAATAAAAAGAACAATACAGGCCTGGTCTCTGTTATGTTCATGTAATGTGCTAATAATCACTATATAAAACAAATTAAAATGGCTCAAATATTACCCTGGTTATGATGTACAGAGAACAGCCTTTTTAAACTACTATCTTCAAACAGTTGCTTTAAGTAGATTGATTACAGGTTTAAAAAAACCAAAACTGGCCAGACGCGGTGGCTCACGCCTGTAATCCCAGCACTTTGGGAGGCTGAGGTGGGCGTATCACAAGGTCAAGAGATCAGGACCATCCTGACCAGCATAGTGAAACCTCGTCTCTACTTAAAAAAAATATATACAAAAATTAGCCAAGCGTGGTGGTGCATGCCTGTGGTCCCAGCTACTCAGGAGGCTGAGGTGGAAGAATCACTTGAACTGGGAGGCAGAGGTTGCAGTGAGCCGAGACTGCGCCACTGCACTCCAGCCTGGCGTCGGAGCAAGACTCTTGTTTCAAAAAAAAAAACAAAAAAACCTATAATTTAAATTAAACCTCCAGAGAGCATTCTAGGTCTTCTACATTAAGAAATATTTCGGGAGCCACCATTGCCAGCGACATGTTCAAGGTAATTCAGAGGTCCGTGGGGCCGGCCAGCCTGAGCTTGCTCACCTTCAAAATCTATGCTGTACCAAAAAAGGACTCACCTCCCAAAAATTCTGTGAAGGTTGGTGAGCTTTCACTCTACTCAGTTCCCAGAGGTCAGTCGAAGTATGTGGAGGAATCACGGAGCCCACCTGAAGAAAGCATCTCACAGCTCCGACACTACTGTGAGCCATACACAAGCTGCTGTCAGGAAACGTACTCCTAAGCTAAGCCCAAGGTGCAAAGTTTGGTTCAATGGGGGTTAGACAGCTATGACTATCTCCAAAATGCACCTCCTGGATTTTTTCCGAGATTTGGTGTTATTGGTTTTGCTGGCCTTATTGGACTCTTTTTGGCTAGAGGTTCAAAAATAAAGAAGCTAGTGTACCCGCCTGGTTTCATGGGGTTAGCTGCCTCCCTCTATTATCCACAAGCCATCGTGTTTGCCCAGGTCAGTGGGGAGAGATTATATGACTGGGGTTTACGAGGATATATCGTCATAGAAGATCTATGGAAGGAGAACTTTCAAAAGCAAGGAAATGTGACAAATTCACCTGGAACTAAGTAGAAAACTCCATGCTCTGCCCATCTTAATCAGTTATAGGTAAACATTGGAAACTCCATAGAATAAATCAGTATTTCTACAGAAAAATGGCAGAGAAATCAGTATTGAATGTATTAAATTGGCTTTCTTCTTCAGGAAAAACTAGACCAGACTTCTCTTATCTTGGGTGATACCATCCTACAAGCAAACTAATCTGACATCCTTTCACCTAGAGATAATGTACAAGCCTTAGAACTCCTCGTTCTCATGTTGCTATTTATGTACATAATTAAAACCCAAGTTAAAAAAAAAAAGAAATATTTCAATTCCTTGATGCCAATAATTATTGGATGTTTTACACTTATATTCTACCTATTTCTATTTTTACTTTCTTTGTTCATAAAGTATTGCAAAACAGCTACAAAGCACAAGAACAGCAGAAGGGCTAAGAATCTTACACCGCCGCTGTGCCCACCCTGTGCCTGGAAAATCAGACATCCTCTCAGTCCCTGTGGACGTCACAGGGGAGGGGTTTACTGCTGAGTGAATGTCAACCTCAGAGAGAGGCGGCAAATGCCATTCCTCCACCTCCAGATTTTTCTCATTCACATTCTTCATGCCGAAAGCAAACACATCAGCTTGAATTTGCTTCATTCTTGCATACCCTCGTTTCAAAATATCAAGAGCTTCCATTGTTTGGCAAGCCCTAAGGCCTAGTGACTGATTTTTGTCATTATTATTCATTATTATCAATTTACATACTCTATCAACATCAGCAGAATGGGCTTTAGAATTTAACTGCTTCACAATAAACATGCAGTGACACAAGCACAGCCCCCAGTTTTTAAACTTGCACGTGTATCGTGCTTATGAATTTACAATTTTTCCTTGGCTGTAACATATAATACATTTATAGAGTGATAAAGCTTTGTAATTAATATGTAATTAAGCAGATAAAACACTGAGATATACAGCCAATAAAGTGCTTCTGGAATCTGAAACGTAGTGAACTGTAAAAGACAGATGTATAAAACTGTGATATTGTGCTGGCCTAGAGCCAGAACCAGAGCAAAACTATTTTATAAAATGCAAAACTGTTTTTAGATAAGTTGAAATGGCTGCCCCATTCTCCTTACAATAACTACTGTCCTTGGCCTCTGTAAATAGAACTGCAGTTTGTTCTTCAAAACTATGTAAACCTGCTTACCTTTTCTTATCAGTAACTGCTCTCTGTGGCCCTAATGTGACAGGCAAGCAGTCCTAACCCATGCCATCTTGGCTCCTGCGACTTGTAATAAGTAACTAAGGTCTGTGATTGCCACCTTAACCAGATAATGTGTAAACAAATGTTTATCTTGACTTCTGTAAACCACTTAAGTAACAAACGGAATGACAAAAGTCCCCATCCCTTGGAATGTCTGGGGACCCCCACCCTCATCTCTGCCCAGGAGGTAATTTACAGAATCCACTAGCCCTCGGAATGTCTGAAGCCTTTTCATCCCCATCCCCGCCCCTCACCCCCACTCCCAAGGTGGTTTTTCGGGTATAAAAAAAATCGTGGCACCCTCCTGTTGTCGCCACAGGTTGGAGAGACGTGAGTCCTCTGTGGTCGCCGGCATAATAAATGACTCTGCAATCTGGCATACTTTTGTCTCGTGATAACTTTCCACGCTCCGGTCAAATACAACAAAACTACACAGTGAAGACGTCCCTGGGTGGAGAAGCTCCCAGAGGACACAGGCGCCTGCAGAGCGTCTTCAACAGGAGCTGGCTGCGGCTTCCCACAGGAACCACGCGAAGGCACGGACGACCGCATGCCCACAGCCCCTTAGCTTTGCCAACAGCATGGAATTACCAGCCCTCTCCCTCCACTCGCTCCCACCAAGCAAAAGCAAACTACAAGAACACGCTTTTGTTCTGAACAGTATGGAGGACTGGAGGCTCGTGGCTTTACATACACGAATATATTGGTTCATACATTTGATTAACAACTATTTACTCTTAGGTCATAATTATATCAAAATACAAAAGATACTGTTTCTGGCTCTAGGACATCACTCCCAAGTAAGTAGTGTGTAGCCATCTCAATGCAGCAGTGTAAGGTATGGGTTAGCTATCAATTGCTGAGTAACAAATCACACCAAAACGTAGCCACTTAAAACAACACATATTTGGCCAGTCGCAGTGGCTCACGCCTGTAATCCCAGCACTTTGGGAGGCTGAGGCGGGTGGATCATGAGGTCAGGAGATTGAGACCATCCTGGCCAACGTGGTGAAACCCTGACTCTACTAAAAACACAAAAGTTAGCTGGGCGTGGTGGCGCATGTCTGTAATTCCAGTTACTCAGGAGGCTGAGGCAGGAGAATCACTTGAACCCGGGAGGCGGAAGTTGCAATGAGCTGAGATTGTGCCACTGCACTCCAACCTGGCAACAGAGCGAGACTCCGTCTTAAACACACACACACACACACACACACACACACACACACACACACGTTAGTGACTCACAGTTTCTGTGTGGCAAAAATAAGGGCATGGCTTAGGAGTGTCCTGTTTCTCGGTCTCTCACAAGGCTACAATCAAAAAGTCAGCCCAGGGTCTGCAGTTTCATCTGAAGACTCAGCTTTCTAAGTGATTTTTGGCAGCATTCAGTCTCTGTGGGCTGCAGACCAAGGGCTGCAGTGTCTGCTGACTCCTGGCGGGGGCCGCCCTGTGCTCCTTGCCATGTGGTCCCTCCTTCATTCTAACGTGCAAGCCAAGGAGGCGGTAGAGAACGCCTGCTAACAAGCTGAAGATCATGGATTTTCATAAACTAGCCACATAAGTAGCATTTCATTTATTTTGCTATATTTATTGGCCTAAAATGGAATCATGACTTAACTGTCCACCCCCAAGGGCAGATGACACAGGCAGAAATGCCAGGAGGTAGAGATGACTGGAGGCTGTTTTAGGAGTCTGTCTTCCAAAGGCACTGCAATGGTCTCCATCCACAGTGGTTTTTACCACCAGTGATCCGCACTAAGATCTCTAGCAGTGGAGTGTAGCACTGCAGACCTGTGTTTTCTATGGTGTCCTTTATCATGCACATACACTGCTGTTGCTAGGTTACACTCGTGGTTCTCTAGTAAGTGCCAAGCTGTGGGACACAGGAAAGAAAACCTTAGATGAGACGCCGTGGCAAAAAAATAAATCAAAATATCATGGGATACAAGATGGTAGCTGAGAGAATGGGCCTGGAGCATGCCTTATGAAGAGGAGGGGAGGGGGAGGAGAGGCAGCCTGAAGTCTTTATCACCTTCTGATGTCGCCAGATAGGAAGGATGATGTGGATGATAATGAGGCTCTTCCTCAAACCAGCCTGGCCATGGTCCTTCAGCATTTCCTCAGTCAGGCTACTCTTACCTCTATGCTTGTCACTGATGACTAGATGGGTAGAGTTCAGAACCATGGGGAGAGGTACTGTTTTTTCTTTTTTGAGACAGAGTCTTGCTCTGTTGCCCAGGCTGGAGTGCAGTGGCATAATCTCGGCTCACTGCAACCTTCACATCCTGGGTTCAAGTGATTCTCCCACCTCAGCCTCCTGAATACCTGGAATTACAGGCATGTGCCTCCATGCCTGGCTAATTTTTGCATTTTTAGTAGAGATAAGGTTTCACCATGTTGGTCTGGCTGGTCTCAAACTCCTGACCTCAGGTGATCCACCCACCTCAGCCTCCCAAAGTGCTGGGATTACAGGCGTGAGCCACCATGCCTGACCGAAGAGGTTCTTCATCATGCCCTACTCTGTGTGCTTAGAGACATGAGCAGTGTCAGAGCTTCAAGAATAGAAATGCCAATTACAGTTTTCCTTAGGAATTATAATTTAGAGCTTTAAAAATAGTTCTGCCTATGATGAAGACTTAATGTTTACTGAAGAGCCAGTGCATACTGGGCAGGGTTAGTGACAGAATGACAGCAGTGCATTTTTCAGCACGCATGGGCCCAGGACTTGGAATATTTTGCCTGTCAAAGTTGGGTGTCATTCCCACCAATACATCTATTCCCGTATCGATTTTCAGTTCTGCAAATAAAGTTAGGCAGCCCACCCTGCACCCTTTGCTTTTCTCTTTGCTGTAAATCTGTGCAGTACTTGCTCTGCAGTGGGAGAGGATGAAGGTCTCACACGTGTGTCCCTTCACCAGACCACACTCTCCTATTCATCATCATGCCCCTATTTCTGATGCATACAAGCCACTCATTAATGTTACAGAGGAGGTTAATGGATCACGGTGACATGCAGGTCCTAGAAGCAAATGAAGCAGCTTCCAGGACTTCCAAGGTCTGTTTCTAGTCTTAATGAATTTGCTAAAAATAAGGATTTGATTTATCAAGGTCATTGGAGACAGGATTTCTGAAATGATCTTCTTGACAAAACCATACTATAATAATCTGCTTTTTAAAGAGATAGTGATTGGTTTCATATTTTATTAAGGGATCATTGTGTGATCCCAGGTGACTTCCATTATAATACTTAATTTAGGAAGCTACAGCATAAACAAAGACTTTGATTTCCAAGACACTGTTTATGACAAGTGAAGTGTACTAGAGACTAGTCACTGTCACATGGCCAGATCAATGACACAGGAGTATTGGAAGGCTGATGAAATGCACCCTAAGTTATCTATTTCCTCAAAGATATGCATTCCAACATGGTGACTTTAATTTTTTGAATCAGTATTCCTAGGAAAAGATTAACTTTGAATACACTTTCAAATAAACGGAGTATTTCACTAGACTCCTTCTCTAATCCAACTTTGCTTAAGTTTGGATTGGATACCCATTTGCCCACGATAGACAATTCACAGAAGATAGATAGGAAACACCAATGCCTTCATTTTATATTGAAAGTTTAAATGTAGCAATACTACTTTGGTCTCAACGTAGTGAATCGATCATGCATAAGTGGCAAAGGTTAACCATTGTTCTCCAAAACCTATACTGTCATTTTCTTTTCCTGGGAGACACGAGCCTGCGTCTCCCAGCCTCCCTTGCTGCTATGAGCTTGTCAATGGCACCCGAGTGCAAGGGACGCATTCCACTTCCAGGCCTTGTCTATCAAACACACAAGCACACTCGCCCATGGTCATTTCTCTTCCACATACTGGGGATGAAGGCAATTATGACAATCTTTGAAGCCATTATGACAGTGTCTTCCGAATCAGCTGCGCCCGCAAACGTACAGGAGAGAGCCCCTGGGTAGAGAGCCCCTGGGTAGACAGCCCCAGGGCAGCTTCATGAGTTTCAGATGAACTGTTACTGTGTGAGGATGTTTTT